GTATTCCCTGGGGATTTCATCACTTTGCTCCCCTTGCTGCTCTGTTGCATGCCCTTAGTGTTTTGCCCCAGTGTGATGGGGTAGATTGGGCACAATTCCAGCAGTGTCTCCAGTGTTGTCCCCTGTAGTGCCACGGTTCCATGAGGGATGTTGTGTCTCATGGTGGGACCAGCCCTATGGTCCTCTCTGTGCATTGGCTGCTCTGAGCAGGAACATCGTCCTCAGGGCTTGGTGGGCCAGGATGTGTTCCCCTCTCTCTCCCTCCCTCTTCATTTCTCCTGTGTGCTCTGATCAGATGTGCCCCTCTCCCCAAGCTGTAGCTTCAATGCTGTCCTCTGAAGTGCATTCTTCTGGAAGGGGTGGAGTGGGGGTTGTGTACACATGGTTGAGATTGGAGCTGCCCTGCAGACCTCTCTATTGGTTCCCTGGTACATGCCAGTATGTTGTATTCACATCTTGGTGCAGCATCCGGTTGAAGCCTGGTCTATCTCTCCCTCTCCTGTGGAGATATAAACAATACCTCCCCTTGGGTGGGTTAGTGCCCTGCTCCCCCTCTACCCATGTCTTTTTTTCTTTCTCTCTCTTTCTTTCCCCCTCCTATTTAGTTGACTGCCGTATGTGTCTGACCACATCTCAGTTAAAGCCCATATTTGGACCTTTTCCCATTGATATTTTCTTTACTGTGTCCAGGGCACTGGACAGGGAAACACTCACATTTCCTTTGATTCCATCCAGATGAAGCTATCTGACCTTCTATTGGCTTTTCTTAGCTCCTTATCTAAATGGAATGTATAGATTGCAGCTAATTTGTACTATGCACCAAGGAGGGTCTCAACTCATTGCCATTGGGTCAATTCTGACACATAGCGACCTTATAGCACAGAGTAGAACTATCCCTGTGGCTTTCCAAGTCTGTAAATCTTTCTCAGAGAGGACAGCATCATCGTTCTTCTGAGAAGTGGCTATCAGCAGATTTCAAACTGCTGATCTTGTGGTTAGCAGCCCAATGCTGAAGCCACTAGGACGCATATCTGGGAGTGTAGAGATCTGCTTGGCTAGTTTCAGACCTGCCCTTACAGAGGAAGAACTTCTTTGTTGTATCCTTGGGACTTTAAGTTAGATAAAGTTAGTGGGGATAACTTTTCATTGACTGTCAAAGGAAGCCTAGTTCAATAAGGATGGGCAACACAAGGGTTGCGAACTTTTATTCCTACCACTATCAACACTCTCTAGAAATGGTGTAAAATTGTGTGAATTTTCAACTTTGTAAAGAGAAAATTTATTCAGACCCATCTTTCCAAAATTATTGGAAGCTTTTTGCCAAAATTATAAGGAGCTTTTCTTTCCAGTGAGAAGTTCTAGTGACAATATTGGATAAACTTTAACTGCTCACCATAAGGTAGGCGGTTCAAACCCACCAACTACTCCATGGGGGAAAGATGAGGCTGTCCCTGTAAAGATTTACCACCTTGGAAACCCTATATATATATAGGATCACTATGATTCAGAAATGATAGTGGGTTTGTTTTTATCCTTTTTCCTTTCCTGCAGACAATTAAAATTGGGGTAGGGGGAAGACTTGGACACTGATTTTATTTGACCTATATATTAAGAAACAATAGCTTTATATTCTGATATTTTTGTTTAGTAAAGGTATTTATGATTTTTTTTCTACTTACCCTCGCCTATATATTTTCTACATTTTTCTGATTCCTTTCTCTCTAAGGGAAGCTAATTCGTAATCTCAACCCTCTATGATTCTTCATTTATAGTTCCAGTCTATCAGTTATCATAAAGACCTTACATCTGCCTGGCTATTTCCCCCCAACTGTGTACTCTAAGTCCACTGAATCTCTGAATCATCTGAGCCATAATCCTGCGTATTGAACACACTGTTTATCAAATTCTCCTGATAGACATGTCTTACTGAGCCTCGGATCACTCCTTGAGCCTTTCTTTATAAAATGTACTGTCTTATCAACAGTTTCTGTTCATCTGCTGAATTCATATAGTGCTCCTCAGTGGTATCTACTGTTGAAATCCTAACAATCATGAGTATTTTGAAGGTGATTTCTTTCCAAAAAGAATCTGTTAAGCCTTTGAACTATGAGAGATTGTGAGAGCAGGAGAGAGTAATTTCAAACAGCAAAGAAGAGTTCAATTTATTTCATTTCTTGTTGCTCAGTTCCCTTTATCAGTGTTATTTATGTTGTTTTTCTCAAATTCTTAAAAATAAACCAAGGTGGAGAATTGTTCCTTCCCCTCCTTTGTCCACCTTCTTTCAATGTGTCCTAAGCCTCGATTCGGTCATAAACTTCAGCCTTAGAATGGCAGGAGTCATCATGTCTGTTAATCGGCTTGGTAAGAATACACCTAATTCCACTGGATATGACCAGCCCCAAACGAGGCTGAGCCACACAACCAGCCCCCACCCCTTTCCTCTAAAAGTCAGAAGAAGGGAGCTAAGAAAAGGGGAAATTGGAGGAATGATTTACAGATGAAGTTAACTTGTCTCAATCTCCCAGAACCTTAGCGATATACCCAGCTACTGCCTGTGCCACGCACCAACTATGTGCTCTGTGTTAGCACTGAGGAATCTGTTCGATTGCATGATCTCATTTTACTCACCCAATAATTCAGGTGGACATTGCTTTATCTTCATTTGTACAGATAAGGAAACTAAGGGGCAGGGCAAATGACTTATGTCAAAGTCATACGGACAGCAGTAGTGATGTTCCAGTTGGAACCCAACTCAACACAGTACTCTGATCTCCACAGCGCCGATCTTGCCTGCATGGCTTTCACAGTCCATTGGAGCAAGTAGGTGCATAACCAGATGACTCGCACAGAAGGTGATGCAGATGAAAACTTATGTTTGGGCCACCCTATACTGTTAATAGCGTGCTTTCACATTTCATATTTACTCTGAAAAGAGAAGAGGGCAAGGATACAAAGGAATCTGGCTAATTTAACATGAGTTAACTTAGGGAGCCTTGCTGGTAGAGTGGTTACTCACTGGGCTGCTAACTGCAAGGTTAGCAAGTAGAAACCACAGCTGCCCCACAGGGGAAAGACTGGACTTTCTGCTCCCATAAAGACCTACAGTCTCGGAAACTGCCAGGGGCAGTTCTACCCTGTCCTATCAGGTCACTATGAGTTGCCATTGACTTAATGGCATTGTGTTTGGATTTTTAAACATCAGTGTTAACATTTAGATAGCTGTCTATTGTTCTCAGGGACACCATTTGACCACAATAATATTCTGAGTCTGTTTTGTTTTTAGGGTCTCAAGAACATACTCAAGGCATTAAAAACGGGGAGATATCAAGGAAGATTGAACTCTACTGACTACTCACTGGAAGCCTCAGGAAAAAATGCCTCCCAAGAGCTGATGGCCGTGATATGCACCCCAAACACACGGGAGCTTACAAAGCTCTTCTTCCAGCCGGGGCATAATGGAACTTCCAGCGAGCCACCACGCAGCCTCTAACCAAACCAATGCAACGTGCAACAACTCCGCGTTTCTGCACCTCGACTCTTGTCAGCTCCCTTCTCTCGTACTACTCCTATTACTCATCGCTTACACTGTGGTCTTAATTGTGGGCCTTCTGGGAAATCTCTCTCTTATCATCATCATCTTTAAAAAGCAGAAAGAAACTCAGAATGTCACCAACATACTCATTGCTAATCTCTCCTTCTCCGACATCTTGGTTTGTATCATGTGCATCCCTTTTACTGTCATCTACACACTGATGGACCACTGGATTTTTGGGGACGCGATGTGCAAACTGACCTCCTATGTGCAGAGCGTCTCCATTTCTGTGTCCATATTCTCCCTTGTCCTAATTGCCGTCGAAAGATACCAGCTGATTGTGAATCCCCGGGGATGGAAGCCCAGTGTTTCTCATGCCTACTTGGGCATCACCCTGATTTGGCTGTTCTCTCTCTTGTTGTCTGTTCCTTTTTTCCTGTCCTACCACCTCACTGAAGAGCCCTTCCGAAACCTCTCTCTCCCCACGGACCTCTATACCCACCGGGTAGCTTGTGTGGAGAGCTGGCCCTCCAAAATGAACCAGCTCCTCTTCACCACCTCCATGTTTATGCTACAGTATTGTGTGCCTTTGGGCTTCATCCTCATCTGCTACCTGAAGATTATTATCTGCCTCCGCAGGAGAAATGGGAAAGTGGACAGGAAGAGGGAAAATGAGACCAGACGCAATGAGAACAAACGGATTAACAGGATGCTGATTTCCATCGTGGTGACCTTTGGGGCCTGCTGGCTGCCCTTGAACATCTTCAATGTCATCTTTGACTGGTATCATGAAGTACTAATGAGCTGTAACCATGACCTGGTATTTGTTATCTGTCACTTAGTTGCTATGGTTTCTACATGCATAAACCCTCTCTTCTATGGCTTTCTCAACAAAAATTTCCAGAAGGACCTGGTGGTGCTTATTCACCACTGCTGGTGCTTCACACCTCGGGAAAGATATGAAAACATCGCCATCTCCACGATGCACACAGATGAATCCAAGGGGTCTTTAAAACTGACTCACACACCAACAGGTATATGACAAAGGATAGCAATGAATGCTTAAGCCCATTCGAATGGGAGCTGGAAGGGCAATGGGGTCTGAGGAGTTGAGAAGATAGAAGAAAAAAAAAAAAAAAAGAGAGAAGAAACAAGAACCCCAAACAAAACAAAACTTTCTATTACCCAGCTTTAATGTAGGCCAGGCCTGTTTTTCTCAGCTATTCATCTACCACACACCCCCAGTCAGCTCTCACACACACACACACACACACACACACACACAATCCTCTTTGTCCTTTCTTAACATAAGACTCTAAGAACTGAAAATGTGCAGTCATTTGTGGCAAAGAATGTGAGAAAGTAGGTCAAGGAGTGTCCTCAAACAGCAACGAGGGTTCAGAAACAAAGTCTTTAGATTGGTTATTTAATAGTGTATCTATAGAAGTTATTACTAATGAGATGCCTGGTAAAACAACACTAAACCTTTGAGTATTGAAGCAATTCCAGTTTCAGGTATGAAATCTGTAATTATCAACCATGCAGTCAATTAATTAGCAAAGTAATAATTTATTAATTAATTAAACTAAGTTTAGGTTGGAAGTTGAAGGTTGTAATATGAGGTGGGGGGGCAGCCCCCCACCACTGGTCTTGGGTTCAGTAAGCACAATTGTACGGTTGAGATATACAAATATTATATTAAAGTTATCGAGAGCATGAGCAATAGAAGAGATATTACAATAATACAGTCAGACACAATTTATGGTAGCATTGCTCACCTCAGCCCCGCTTGGTGGTTCAGGTGGAGAGAGGGGGAAGGGAAGGAGGACGGGAAAGGGAACAAAGGAAAAAGGATGGGAGAGGAGAGGGGGAAGAAAGGAGAGAGGGAGCGAGAGGAGGAGGGATCTCTATTGCTAACCCAGGCCTATATACCTTTTGGGGGCATGCAAGCCCACTGATTACAGGTAAAGACATGCGTCACAGGAAGGGGTTGCACTATAGGTTATACAGCAATGAGAGGGGGTGGTCCAGGGACATACAGGCAATAGGAAGAGAAGGGATTGGAGGTATACATGTGACAAGATGGGCAGATCCTAGATTTAGGATGTCAGCTTAATTTAGCTGGTTTGTCCTGTTCCCTGGTTCAACTGATAGAGACCATTATCGGTAGGGTAGGGTGTGAACTCCACCTACAGGAACCAAGCTAATGGTCAGCTAGTGGTCGCAAGCCTCAGGGAGAAATAATCAATTGTCCCCAACAGCAGGGAGCAGGCCCACCCCTGTGGTGGGGGCAGACAGCAGTCTGGCAGCGATTGCCTTCAGGGAGCATCTGACCTCCTCCCACAGAAGGTTTTATCTTGACATGTAAACTAAGTATTATAATTATAATCAACCCCATGTCTGAATCAGATTATTTAATTTATGGTAAGTATATATTACCATAAATTAAATAATCTGGTAAATATATATATGTATATATATATATATATGCATACATACACACCTTTTTACAGGCAGTGCTATTACCACTTTCAGATCTGGCCAATATTGTTTTAGGCTAGAAATCATTTTAAGTGACCTGTTAATGGCCAATGTAGATGGAGCTTTTGTTACAAAATGATTTTTTATCCATAATCCTTTGTGTATATTAAGTAGAAGTCATTAAGGCTCAATCATTGACTTGATGGATGTCATTGGTAGCACTTTTATAAATTTGCTCCAGGTTTTTTTTAACTTCTTGTATTCTTGTAACCTAAAACCTGACCTACTGCTATCCAGTCCATTTCCACCGTAGAGACCCTCCGTGAGGTATCTGAGCGGACAGTTTCACTTTCTCCCAAACACGAATGAGTATCTCTCATTACCACAGAGTCACTTAGGTAGAGGAATCAACTAGATTATTTTCAAAATAGATACTAAGCTACTATTCAAATAGCCCTTAGCTCAGTGAGTTTTACAAAATCATAACTTTCTTTCTTGAGTACATCTCCTTTGTACTTCTTAAAATTGAACAACAACTTATTCTCTGTTCAAAGTACAAATGCATCTTCTTATTTCCTTTGAATAAAGGATAATGTCTCTTTGAATACAAGTGATTTTTCTATTGTGTTTTTTTCTTGCACATTAGCCTTCACGTTTTCCCCTTTTGAAATTTCCTATCTCCCTCTTCTCTTCAGGATTTCTATTATTTTAGGATATATGAACAACAAAAGCACTACAGGACACTCAAATTGGGGGTGGGTGGATTGGAGGGGGAGTTTAACAGTATCTGCTGCAGATAAAAGCTCATTTAAAGCAGTCTTTAAATGGTGCTGGCTTAGAATCGTAACCGTACAGCACTACAACCGCCTAGCCCAAGGAACAATCACTCTCCCCTAGAGATTCCTTTCTCTCCGTTCTGACTGCCGTTAGTCCTAAAATACGACTAGACCTATCATTAAAACCCAACATGACAGTTTCTTTACTTGGAAAAATATATGTCTGTCTATTTCCAGGATCAAAATGATTCTGATCAAACTGCTGAATGCAGGAAAGAGCATCAAACTCTGATATCAGCCTTCTCCCCTATCTTCCCTGATACATACACAAAACATCCTCTAGGCTCTCCCATGGGCATTCAGAAGAGATCCCCAAGGTATGTTAAATACTGTGGGGCTCTTTCTGGCTCCATGATAAGAGCAATTCCCATAGCCTATAAAATGGTTTCTTTTGTTTTTCCTTAAAAAAAAACCCAACAATGACTATTCTTGAACTATGAGACAAATTTAATTAATTATTATCTATCAGTAATAGTTTTTCTTTTGTTTACATTTACCTAAAAGGGGATGGGGGGGTGGAATAGTGAGTTAAATGTATATTTTAATGGACATCTCTACCTTTAAGGAACCAGAGAACTTACTTCCTTTGATGGGTAAGAGAACACAGGTCTACAAGCAGGTGCTTAAAAAAGGGATAATGGAAGTATAAAACAAGTGGGTAGGAACCCAGAGGAGGGGAAAAAAAAAACATGTGGAGATTTGAGGTTACTAAACCTTTTTTGGTTTGTGCATTACAGTATTTGTAAATGGTTCACACCAACCTGCTCTACTGTTGAGCCCCCTGGCAGGATGACCTAGGACCTCACTTTCTCACTTGTCTCTCCCTCAGTTGGCAGATGAGACTGTATTCTCCCTTTTAGGAATCTCCCTGAGACGGAAACTGCTTGATATTTGCCACATGTTCCTGGGAACACAGATTTCCTCCGACCAGTGCTACAAAGAACCGTTCTTCTCTCTACTGTGTTAGAGCTTAAATTCTGAGCACCCTGTTTGCAGGAGGCTCTGGATAACAGAGAGAGCCCAAAATCCATTTGCAGAACTTAATCACATAGATTAGACTTCCTTTGAATTCCTTCTGACTGACAATTGAGGATGAGAACTGTCTTGTCCTTAGGCAGAATACATTGGAAAGTGAATTACCTCCACCCTAATCCAGGGAGGGGCAGTTCCCTCAAGGACTTGCCTGGATGTGTCCTTAAGGGACAGAGCTGGCAGGGGTGAGAGGGTCTCATAGTCATGAGTCATGCCCTATCAGTCATGCCCTGACTGCCTGGGGTCAGAAGGCCCTGGGCAAATCTTGTAAACTCTTTTATCTAACATAAAGTACTTGTCCCAGGCATGGTCCTATTTCTGTTTCTGTAGTCCCACCTGTGTGATGTATTCATCTGCCAGCAATCATGATTTGTGACAGTTTCCTTTGTTCCACGCCTTATTAACTAGCATCTTTACTGTGGACGCCATTGTGAGCTTGTGATAAAGGTCTCCTTCATGTGGGTGATGTGTCTTTGTCCCATTTAAGACTTAAATGTTTTTTGAGACTGGGGTCTCTTTTGTACCCTAAATATCACTGCATTCAAATCATTCTGAATTAAGAGTAATTTTTCACATATTTCCAAAAGAATACTATTAATAGAATGAAGAAGTATTTAAACTCTCAAAGAATTAGTAAATTAACTATCTTGAATGTGACTGCTCAGTGACCTAGAACTAAATGAGAAAATTCTAAAATGTCTTTTCCTCCACCTAGTCCTAAAAGTTCCCCGCTAAGTAATTCCCAACCAATTTCTAATCAACAACATAAATGATTCAAACTAACCATACCCAAATGTGATTAAGTTTGTATGGGGCATATTTTTCTGCAATAGAATATGTATATTCTGAAAACAATATAAATAACTTAAAAAAAATCATTTTATTGGGGGCTCATACAACTCATCACAATCAATATAAATAACTTGATGAAGCAACAAGACATGAAACTTCAACTCCAAAAGGAGATGGGGAGTTCCCTGCTGTCTCTATTGTACCTGTCGCTCCATGTTGAGGATAAACCCCATCCTCTTTCTGGAAACTGCCATTTTGTAAAACAATAAATCAAGAAATGCATATGAAGCACTTAACACTGTGCCAGGTACAGAAAAAAAATGTGAGCCGCAGCATGAAGAGCTTACAATACGGGTGTGGGGTAATTCAATGCCTTGGTTTTGAAGGCCTTTCTTCTAGCGGGTTGACAGCAGCCTATTAAACTATTAAGAGTAACTCAATTCAAACCCACTGCCATCAAATCGATTCAGACTCATCGCAACCCTGTAGAACAGAGTCGAACTGCTCCACACCATTGCAGCGGCTGCAAATCCTTGTGGAAGCAGACCAGCTCACTTTTCTCTCTAGGAGCAGCTACATGGGTTTGAACTGCTGACTTCACAGTTAAAGTGCAATGCGGAGAGTAGCTGTAAGCCAGGAAAAAACCCACACCGCTATGGAGTCCAGTTTATTCTTTTCAAAGGAGGATGCTACTTATCTTCATAGCCATAAATGAGCACATACTGGGGAAGAGAAGATGAAGCATCCGGATAAGGGAGAAAAGGCAGGCTATTTCCACAGAGATACAGCCAGGAATTCCTCTCAAAATTCCCCAGAGGAAGGGCAATTCCTAGGCAACAAATTGGAAAAACAAAGAAGATAAATATTGCCAGTGAGCTAAGCAAAGCAAGGCAAGTTTTTC